AAAGGAGAGCACCGATAACTCAAGAAAAATTAATTTAAACTCAAGATATTCATGAATGAGATTTTATCCTTTTTAATTACTCGTTTTTTGTATGACATATTCTATTTTTCAATTATCAGCTATTAAATTTCATATAAGTTAGAACGTTTGATATTTTCTTCTTTTTTGTATTTGCAGCTTAATGATGTAAATATTCTAAAACATCGACCTATATCGTCAAAATATATGGCATTTTTTTCAGAATATCTCCGACTTTTGCTTGAAAGAGTCAGCTGAGTATTTGTTTCTAAATTCACAAATACTTTTCAATTAAAGGTCAAATGGTTTTTAGACAATATCTAATTTTTTGTTGTTTTCTTTGCTTACGAATTAACGTCATTATTGTCAACTGAATATTTGCTAGACATTAGTTATACACATTTTTCATTAATAAGACAAAAGCAAATTTTCAATATCGTGAATAAAGGCATTACTTAACCAATTTTTAAATTGTAGTATCTCTGTCGACACGCACAGAACAAATGTACTAAAGTCAAGTTTGCCTGGTTCATTCACTTATTCCATACATATTTCAATTATCTAACTGTGCTTGTAGTATGATGCTTAGATGCGACATTTTTTCATAATGTAGCTTAGTTCGTTTCTATGCTATTTGTTCAAATACAAGCCAAGCATTTGGTTTAATAATTTACGTATTGCATAACTAACCCATCAGCACACATTCGAATCGAATGGTCTCTCTCTGGGTAGACTGATCAGAGAAAAGAATGAAAAGAAGAGAACTCTGGTTGATAGCTTTCTCATTGGCAATCATACCACATCTCCTTATTTCTATAAAGAATATCGATATTGACAGCTTATGTAGATAAAAGACAGTAAAGGTCTAACTAATACTAGAACTTAGTCTAGAAGACATTTACCATCTACAAAATATGTCAAAATCTCCTTTTCAATCATCCATATGTAACTTTAAACATTATTTATAGATCAAATCCAGTCTCAGAGGAAATCTCCTTGTGGAATGACACACAATAAGCACGCTATTGACAGCTTGAATAATTAGAAAAGACTTAATTTGGTTACTTCAAGGGTCAAAAGGATATGTGTATACAAGTTTTCACTGGTAATTTGTCCAGCCATATTATTTATCATTCCATTTTCTCGATATAAATCCCGAAGTCAGTCGTACAATTTCTTGCGTAAAAGTTTTGTACCAGAATGGATGATATAACGGTCTTGTCCCATTTATGTGTCCTTTTATTGGGGTTCATATCTACTTAAATGGAATAGACAAATTTATTTGGATAAAAGTTACAAATTTAACAATGTTCACCAGCTTTGTAAACAAGTTGTTTATGAGTATCATCCGCTCCCCAAAGTAAAATTAAGAATTTTGGTAATAAAAACATTTTTTGCTTAAAAGTTGTACAAATTAAATAAAAGAATATATTCTGACAAACTATAAATTATTAAGATGTAAATGAGTAGATAGAAAAAGGAGTAGAGTTCAAAGATGAATTATGTGTTCCTCTATTAATTCAATATACAATAAGTATGTCTTGATATGCACCGTTGACTGATGCAGATCTTGGCTTATAGATAACTTTTTATTCAAAACAAGAGGGGGCGGAAAAACCTCACTGGTTCATGAACCGCCTCAGGTTTGGACAAGTCCATACAACATCTTCATTCCCACTGTTAGATAACAATATATAATTGTGATGCACATCTAAAAACTTACAAGGCTCGCTCACCTGTTTCCTGAAAATTAAATTTCATTTTTTTGCGTAATTCTATTAGTTAATTTCAACTGATAATTGAATATTCTTGGTTCATGAACGGTTTGAAGCAATCCATAGAAGGTCATGTTTTCTGCTTTAATACGTATTCATTACATTGGTTTTATTTTCCTATCTTATTGCATTTCTACGTGGACTTTACTTGTTACATTTGTGCTACGCCACTGACTGCAATGTGTATACTTACAATATGATTTTTGAAAAATGGAAATATGTTTCTTTTAAAATACCTAGAAAAGGCTTTTTTATAAATATGATTTAGAATGACGGTTGCTCTACATTGATACTACAAATAAACTCAATAGGAAGATGGCAATTTGACTTCGAGTCTTCTCCTGGGTTTTATCATAAAAAGTAGCAACTTAGAAAAACAGTAGTATTGTCGCCTATGAAGAAAAACTACCATCGTGTTCCCTTTTAGCATAATAATGCAAACGAAACGATGTTATTGACATGTCATGAGTTACTGTACATGTGCGACTATTTAAAAATCAAAGTTATTACTTCCAATTCCTGAATGCTAATAATAACTCAAGATCAACATATTACACATAATGACATTCAACTATTTTTTTTCAAATCTCATAAATCTTGTTAAAATGTATTTAATATTATCAAATGAAAAAAACAACTTTCTTTTAAAAGGTATTTGAACTTATCAAATGAACCTGACATGACTTATTACTAAAAATTAACCGGGTTGACCAGCTAGTTATTTGAGACGTAAATAAAATCGTTTGTAATTACACAAGATGACTGTCATATTCGTCATTTTATAGATATTAATTAACCTTTCGCGTATTTTTATATGTTGTTTCTAAAGTTATTTCTGATTTGAACAAATATCCTGATCGCGATAAGAAATATCAGAAGAATTATTAATTTTTTGCTTGTTTTGTGATACATTTTACTTTACGTTATCCGTGCACAAAATAAAGGAAAAGTGTAGTACCCTATATTTAATGTGTACATCAACATAACATAATTGAGGAGGTAAAAATGAAATAGGCTAATGTTTAAATCTAGTTACTATATAGCATATTCATCGGGGTTTTTGTGAGGTTTTTTTTTAGCTCAATGGTCGACATGAAATCACTTAAATCTGGCTGTACAATTGACAGCACCAAAATGTAAAGGGGTCTTGCATGGAAATTACTATTTTGCACAGGTGCACAGCTAGTCCTTACGAAACTAGAGCTATTCATTTGTTTGCGTTCAAATGACATTATTGTTCTTAATTGTTTTATCACATAATTGAAATCTGATGTACTTACCCACATGAGTTGGCATATCGGTCAACCTCCATACAGACTAAGCTTAGCTTACATTATTGACATGAAAGCAAGACACAGGGTCGCACTTCCGAAGTAAACAGACCGCGGAAGACACCAACAGGATAGTCAAACTCATAAGTCGAAAACGAAAAACGACCAAAAAGACAACAGTCTACAATACACAACATAAAAACCAAAAGACTGAGCAAAACGAACCCCAACCAAAAAACGGGGGTGATCTCGGGTGCTCCCGAAGGGTAAGCAGATCCTGCTCCACATGTGCCCGCGTCGAGTTGCTAATGTAAGTACAAACCCAGTCTAGTTCGGTAGGTCACATTCGAGGAAAAAAGAACTGATTATTCATCAAAGACTTCCATTATAAAGCACACAATTCTTAGCACTGTTAACTCTTAGAATATTTGTTGTTTTTATGACTTAATTATCAACAGAATATGTACTAAATACTAGCAATATTAGTTAGAAAAAGTCAGAAAATTCAAACAGCTAATTTTGACAATATACTTGCGTACATGTATAATGAAGGTAAATTCAGGTTAGTCCTTCGTAAGCAACAAATTTATGAAATGTTATTTTTTTATTTTCTAGCAATGAATCGATATCGCTGCTGGAGGACTTAATATGTGTGTACCATTAGCCCAGTAGTCAGTGATTCGACACTGACATGAGTTATAACATACATTTTCTTAAATTTTCAGTTGATGCATTTAGAAATTTTTTAGAAACTAAGGTTACAATTCCCTCCAGCAAAATTGACCTTTGATAGTTATGGCTATTCTTTTTATAAATTTGAGAATGAAAATGGGGAAAGTGTCGAAGAGACAACAAGCCGAATGAAAAGCAGAAAACAGCCGAAGTCCACTAATGGGTCTTCAACACAGCGAGAAAATCCCTCACCCGAAGGCGGGCTTCTTTTTGCCACTAAACAAAAATGTGTACTAGTTCAGTGAAAATGGACGTCATACTAAACTGCAAAACATATAAATGAACTAAAATTTAAAAAACATACAAGACTAATAAAGGCCAGAGGCTCCTGACTTAGGACAGGCGCAAAAAAGTGGCGGGGTTAAACATGTTTTGTGAGATCTCAACCCTCCCCCTATACCTCTAGCCAATGTAGTATTAACAAATATACAGCAATACGCACAGTAAAACTCAATTTAAAAGAAGTCCGAGTCCGATGTCAGAATAGGTAACAAAAGAAACTAAGCAAAATGACAATGATACATAAATTAACAAAGGACTACTAGCAGTTACTGACATGCCATTTTAATCATACATTTCCTCAAGCTGGTATGTTTATAAATTATTGGCTTTTACTTTTTTTTGTTTAGAGAGTTGCTACTGAAGGTAAACCCAGAAAAGTGTATCGGCCGCACCAGATTTATAGAGTGTTTTCACTATATTGATAAATTTCTGTTTGGATGACAAATCAGTATAACAAGTTTTGCTTTTTTCTGAATCAAATTTATTCTATGTAGCAATATTATATAACTATGTGATGAATTATTCCTAAATAAACATTGTTAAAGCTTAAGTCATGTAAAGCAATACAAATTTGCCATCAAACAAAGTCTCCCGTCTACTGCTGTAAACACAACAAGATATCTGCTTTATACTTAACAGTATGCGGTTATATTCAGTATGTGGTTTTGTATTATCTCTGCAAATGAATGGAACAACATTGCTCTAACGGGTTATTATATAATGAATTTATATTCTAAGAATCCAAGCTTTTAATCGTATTTGTGGTTGCTATTACTGTCGTGACTCAGTATACAAACATAATTAGAAAATGTAATAAAAACAGATTGACTTAAAACCGTAGAAATGTGTGGTGCTTAAATCCTTTATATATATAATTACTCAAATATAGTAGGTTTATGAAAATATTGAAATGCGCACTTACACTGGAATACCAAGGAATATTATTTGGTCCCATTCTTTCATATATAACATCTGTCCCTTCAAATGTAGACACTTTCCATCATCGTCTTCAAGAAAATCGTCGGATTGTGCTTGAGATGTGCCTTCTGTTAAAAGAAAATTGGATCTTACTCACGAAAGCAAATTTATTTCATAGTAAAAATAACCCGTTTTGATCTCATTCAATCTTATTTATTTTTTTTTTATTCATAATCGGCGAAATATCAAATAAAGTGTATACTTATGAAATTTCCCTTTGAATAATTATTTAGAAGGCAAATATGTCTTTGTTAGCTTATGTAAATATCGCTAACAGCTTTCCAGCACACAGACCATAGAATTATAAATTGAAAACAAAATATGTTGTTATAAATTCATCGGATGTAGATTAAATAATGTCAATGATCAGAAATATGAATGTGAACTGGTATTGTCCATCTAATATCACCAAGTTTCCAACTTTTAGAACCCCAGTCTTGATATGCCCTTTATTTATACCGCATTTAGCTCTAAAACGATACCTTTTTGTAAAAATAGATAAAGATCACTAGAGACAAAGGATTAGCCTAGAAAGACCTGTTATTTAAGATAACCAGTTTTCGTGCTTTTGAAAGGTACATATAAAACATTCTTGAGCATCAAACTATAAAAAAAGACATCTTATGCCAACTTTGCTTGAGAGAGTTGCAGCTCTTTTTTCAGTACATATGAAAATAATGTGGTATGATTGCCAATGAGACAACTCTCCACAAGAGACCAAAAGACACAGAAATTAACAACTATAGGTCATCGTACGGCCTTCAGCAATGAGTAAAACTCATACCGCATAGTCAATAATAAAGGGCCCCGAAATGACAAATGTAAAACAATTCAGAAAAGAAAACTAACGGCCTGATTTATGTACAAAATAATGAACGAAAAACAAATATGATACACAGCATCAAACGACAACCACTGAATTACAGGCTCCTGACTTGGGACAGGCACAAACAGAATGTGTCGGGCTTAAATTTGTATAGTTCATCAACTAATTTGCAATCCTAATGTTTTATTTTGATTTTACCAGCGATGCAAATATAAGACAATATTTAATTGCATATAAACACTCAAGTCAGATCAATGTGTAGGTATGAATAAATGGTGATGTGGGGACAGAAGACAGCAATCCAACGACTCAAATAACAAAAAAGACACCAAGAAAGGCACAGACACTAATCAACAATAGATAAGTGTCTATAAACAACATGCCATGCACTAAAATTATTAGTTAGTAAACTGTAACTGAAATATCTGTTCAAAAATAGATATTAAAATTTATATAAAATAATAACACGAGACAACCATTGATGAGATTCCTGATTTGGGATAGCCACATGAATATATGACAGAATTATGTTATGTGATTAACTTTTTGAACCATCCTCCTTTTAATCAGGGGAAAAAAGAAATTCAAACAAAATGAATTTATGAAAATAAAAACATGCACAGGATATCAACTCTACTCTAAATTAACGGTATAATGTATAAAAAAAACATTAAAAAAACAAGTATAAACAAAAATAAATTATACCATATCAATAAAAATCATAATATCCTCGCAGTTATTCAAACTTTTTAACCTGTTTACATGAAATCACGCCACCTTACACTTTAATATCAGTTGTTCTACTTCGTCGAAGATTTCATACGTCTTAAACAGTGCAGGGAGACACAAACTTGTACAATGACCAGATAAAACTCTACAGAACTTTGATGCAGAAAAACAAATGAAACTTGAAGTATTGCTGAATGTGAACTACTGAATTAGACTTATTACCGGGTTTGTACTAACATGAGCAACACGACGGGTGCCACATGTGGAGCAGGATCTGCTTACCATTATGGAGCACGAGTTTTTGGTGGGGTTCGTGTTGCTCAGTCTTTAGTTTTCTATGTTGTGTTTTGTGTATTTTTGTTTTTATGTTGGTCTTTTTATTTTTTAGCCATGGCGTTGTCAGTTTATTTTCGACTTATGAGTTTGAATGTCCCTTTGGTATCTTTCGCCTCTCTTCTTCAAGTTTAGAAAACTGCTATTTAAAAAAAAGAACCAAGTATTAACTTCGGTCAAAACCAGGTCATATAGAACAAAACTCACATATATCGGTAATCAGACAAAAAAATGAAGTTTTAATTTAGAAATTTATTTTTATACTGTTATGTGATCAAAGATGTTTGTAATTGATTTGCCTTGTCTTTAATTTTATGTTCAAAGTTTACTTTATGTTACAGTAATTAATCGAAAGGTAAGATTTTTACTATTAGTCAACATTTTAATGATTCTTATGCAGAAATTTAATCAATGCATGCGTTTACGTAAGCATATATAATGTTACTATATAATGCATAAAATTGAAAACCGAAAAATTTTATTCTAATATCCGGATAATTTCCGCTTAACTTTAGAAAATGATAAAAACCACAACATCAAAGAATGAGAGGATTGTATAAATGTTCCAATATATATGCTATGTACCTAATTTCTCTTTGAATGTATTTTAAAAGTATACATTTACTTTTCGTGGGAAAGAACGTGAGAAATAATGACGAAGAATTAAAAAAAACAACAAGTAAAAAACTCTTTCTTGTAATACCAGAGGTGGAATTATTGCTATAAGAAGTATAATGCTTGTTTTCGTGTAGATTTTAATATCTACATCTTTCCAATACTAACATTTTACAAATACTATATTTTACAAATGCGATCGATTTTGTGTCCAAACGTTTGGTTAACAAGGACATGCGACTGAACTGACAGTAACAAATATTATAAGACAAGACAAAAGCGTTAACATCTTAATATGTTTACTATAAGACTTTTATTGAACAATGCACAAAGACGGTTTTATCTGTAACTAGCAAAGAAAACATGGGCGCATCCATTAACCTCTCACGTGACCGATCCGCCGTTACGTCATGGACGTAATGCATAATCAAAACATTATCAATTTTTTGTTTACATTTACATTTCTTTCATTTTCTGATTTATTTTGTTAAGGATAGTGACGGTAGTTATAAAAAAAGGTGGGGACAATTCTTGTGAAGATACTTTTTGTACAAATAATCGTAGAAAACTTCAGATGTGGAAAAAATCAATACGTGAATAACACAACAATGCAAGTTGCACAATGACTGTCCTTTTATGATTACATATACATTAAATTTGATGCCTTCTGACGAGCCAACAAAACTTGATTGGGACCAAAGCTATAAACAGAAAAACTTTGCATAAACAATTTTTTGTATGTTCGGAGCATTTTTTCTGGATGGTGCGCCAACTGCACAAAATCTTTTTTTCTAAATAAAACTTATTATGAAGGTAAAGTTACCCCTGGTAGACGAATGTTGACACGCCGTGAAACGACTATGAAAAAAATGAAAGAATTCGATTACGACAGCACATCTACCTCTTTTTGTCTAGAAGCTGTACACATTTCTTTGGATAATGAAAATGAAACCTATCCCTAAGATACATGTAGATTTAACGTACTTGTTCTGTAATTGTAAGCAAACCAACCCAGTATGAAGAGACGACCTTTTTAATTCATGCATGACGACTAATTTTACTGCAAAATGACAGATATTCAGACATCAACTCAGACAAAAATATTGTTACCAGAGGAGAAAGGAGTTCAAAATTAAATAAAGGGGGGGGGACGACGTCAGCGTATAGAAATATGATTGAAAGTGACGCCTTATTGTATACCTGTATAACTAAGGAATTTTTCTTTACTTAAGATGAATTAATACACGAATTTAATATTCAACTCGATATTGTAGATCAGCTGTTGCTCGTACTGATGAGGTTAACAGTTAGTTTGATATTTGGTTATTTTGCGCGTCGCTTTTATATTTCGATAAGCTTGTAAATTATTTTATTCTCGGATGCCAGTTCTAGCTAAAAACCTTAAAGGTTTTACAAACAGCTGTATCCATTAGACAAATCCCAGCAAACCTTACTATTTCCCTTGCCTATATATGCCCCGACATACTGGTCCTTATATGTAGCCCTTTGTGCTTTAAGTATATTTTCACTTTACTTTCTTTATACGGCGAAAACAGTAATCTCTGTTGAAATTTGATTTGACCTTTCTTCAGTAGATTGTTCTGTGCATGGATTATACAATTCTACACATTTATATATTAGAAAGGATTTTTCAAAGGTCTTGGTAATCAAATAGTTTAATTACTAGAAGTTTCGGAAGCGTAGCTATAATCCGACACTGAAATTCTGACAGTCCAGTAGTCTGATATAAAATCCCTAATGTAATACTGTATTTCACTGTTTTATATGCACCGGGGATCTATATAAGAGTCTTATACAAATTCAGGATAAAAATATACGAGAACTTTTTTTTTGGGGGGGGGGGGGGGGGGGAGGAGGGTTAGCAAAACAATAAATGACGCTTATAAAACACAACTGATCTTTTTATTTACAACATCAACTCAGACGATGTTTAAATTATTTATTTAAAGCACGGGTACATGATGTTAAGCTATACATACTGGTAGCTTTGTGCTTTACATGGCGTTCGAGCTTGTTTTTATGTAAAAGAAACTGGAGTCAGGGGAACGACTAATAACTATATGATTACATGGGAAAGTTCAAAACTTCTTAACTTGGGCCAATTTTAATGGAAAGTTAAGTCTATATATAGCCCGACGCATCGATAGCATAGCGCAATTCATGTTAAAAAAAATAAGACGAAAAGTCACTCAATTATGAGCAGTATACGTGCGTCGAATCACATGCTCAAAAATCCCCGTCTCTGTGAAAAAATATATTGAAAAGTTACAGTATATTTATTTCAGAGACTAGTAACCGCGCGTGGGACGAAACGGGCTGTCGGATTATAGGGACGTCAGACTTGAGGAATGTCAAATTTTAAGACTGTCTGTTTATAAGGAAGTCGGACTTGGGGAATGTCGAATTTTACGACTGTCTGATGATAGGTCTAACCACAGAAATTTCTATGATTTGATAAAATTGCACCTGGTGTTCTGATATCACATTCGACCCAGCAAGTCCGTAAATCCTCATCAGGTACCCTAGCCAAATGTACTTTTATTTACTATAATGACTATATAATAATCAATAATGATTACCAAGTGATTATAATCGTTATGTAACCTGATACTTAAGTCAATATATTATGTCCCGAGTGTAAAGTATCAGTTTCATTTTTAGGGCTCGACACCTGGCCTGCAATTAATACACTTATAATTTGAATGTCCATTCCTTATCTAATTACTTTATTATTTAAAGCATTTATAATTTTGCCGAGGTCAAGTACGCCTTCGCATTCTTGTGTTTACGTTAAGCAATTATAAGCGGTCTGGGAAATAGATGTGTAGCTTGTTTTAATTTTTTTTTCACGACTGTAATGGCGACCGCTACTACGACGACACATAGGAGTCGCGTCACAAACTAAGGCAAATATTCTGAAAAACCTGTCTATTAGGTCAATTTTTCACTTCCTATGTTTGGACAGTTGTTAACAAACAAACAATGATCAATACACATAATTTATTTTAATAAGCTTAATTCACTAGATCAATATTACCTGTAACAATGTCTAAGGGGAAATAATATTCAACCTAAATGACACATGATTAGAAGGTACGGAGTGCTTGCAGTATCACGAACTACGTCAACACGAAGCAATAATTGTTGATTGGGTCTTGAATACAAATACCGTAATGCTATTCAGTAAGGTTGATTATATAGGGAATCACTGAAGCATGAATGAAGCGGGCTCCCTCTTAGGCAGTCCGTGGACCCCCTCTTATGAAAATTTCTGAATCCGCCACTGACATGTTCATAATTTCAAATTCTTATTCTAGCCAATAAAACCTTATCCACATCATAAAACAACCAATCCAGATCCAATTTGTTAAGTAACAATTTCAAGATGGCGAGAATATCGAATGAAACATCATACCGAGGTGCGACGCAAATACAAATGTAGCATTAATTTATCATTATCAATACAAAATTAACTGCTTTACTATTTATCAATATGAATTTGAGGCGACATTATATAGCATGGTAAACCAGTACAGGCAAAATTATTCATTGATCGCGGGTATCGGATCGGATCTTTAATACCCATACTGTAATGAATAGTTGTAAAATATCTTCTCCTGATTTTCCATTTTGTTATAATCCATTATCAAGCCTCTTATTACCTCTATTCTGGGAAATTCTGCAACCGGTGTCTGTTACGACTACAGCATTTCCACACACCCAAAGCAGGTAAGAATTGAACAGAAGACATTTTAATCTTTCAAAATCCGTTCAAATTTTTGGCACCGGTTCGGAAATCGCAGAGGTAGATTATGAAAATTTTCCCAAATAAAGAGAATTCGATGATTTATGTACAAACAAATATAAACAGTTAAAAAAAGTGACCCTCCCCCTCTTCAGCTTCTTCTTTTTAAATCAAGTAAAATGGTACTTTTTAATGTTTAATAGATATTCCTAAGCTATTTCGATTTTTTATTTAGTATTTTTTTATGTGCGATTTTTTTTGTGGAACTTTGGGTAACTTATAATAAGGTTAATTTATGGACCGAACCAAATACGTCCTCGTTTAACAGGTGCAGCCATAATTGCTTACTTTTAATTTCCTCGTCCGATCATGTCTATTAAACATTTACAGTTGGGAGTAACGCGACCATCAATGAATAAAAACATATCAATCTTACCTGATTGGTCTTCGTCTTTGGTAGGAAAATAGTAACTTTTCCTAGATACGCCAAACACCGACAACAATTCAAACACATTATTTGTATGAACTTGTATCTGAAATTGAAAGTGAATAAAATGCAAATTTCTACACATAAAGTAAGTAGCTGAATAAGAAAATCAACATTTAGTTTAAAGAAAATTAGAAAAAAAGATGGAGAGAATAAATTTATCATAATTCATTGATTATTCATATGCAGAAGACTATTTGTTTTAAACATCGACTTTTAATCATTTGAGATTCCCACCTTATAACCTTAGGTTATTTGAAACAGAATATGCGATGTAGAGAATGTGATTTATAGGTAAATAAAACTAATTTCATTTCTACACAAATATAATTAATACAAACTAACAAGTACATTGTAGGTCAAGAAATGAGAAGTTAAAATAGTTGTTATGATTTGCCATCAGAATAATCAAAACGTAAGCCGTTTGGTAGCATTATGATTTTCGGAATATTGATTACAATACCCTCTTCTTGCATTAAACATTTTTCATTTGGCAATATACAATGCACTAACTAAACCATCGAACTATTAATGATAAGTCGGGTACTGGTTTCAGAGGTATAAGCTTTTCACAAAGTTCTAATGTTTTGACAGGAAAAAATGTCTCTGGACTTTTCATAGGTAATACATGGTGATAACTACGTATATGGTGTAGGTAAAGTAGAGAAAGATTATAAACCATTGTGAAATCTTTTGCAAGATGTGAGACAAGATATATTTGTTTTAAAATAAGTTAAAGAATATAGTAGAAAAGGATGGGATACTGTTAATTGATTCATGCCTCAAAATTCCTATGCACAGTTGATGAAACCAAGAGGAAATAAACAGCGTTGTGTTTGTTGTTCTTAAAATTCAAAGTGAGGCCTTCAATACATGGAAAAGCTAACACCATGCTGCAAGTTCAAGACGCCTCTTAGAACCGGTTTAAGCGAGAAAGTCGATCGCACAACAACTGGGTATTGAAGATGGCCCAAGGTATCAACTAATTAAAGACTATTATGGGCAATTTCTTTTTTCTTTTCTTTTTTTACGAAAAAAACACTTTTGTCAACATTTTATATGTTTTGCTTTCCAAAGTTCTAGACTCGAGGGAACAGAAAGAAGTTATTAAAAAAACACTCATATGGTATAAAGTGTACGTTGTATTACTGACTTATTGAAACTGCATACATGAGAAAAGATGAATTAATTCAACTTGTGCAGAATTTACTAGCAAACTATGGCAAGCCGTTCTCGTCAAAACTATGTTTAACCCCTTTTTTCGAAAAAAAATACACAATGAGAGTTAAAAAAAAACACACTGAGATTTAAAAACCTAAAATAACACACTGAGAAATCAAAATTACACACTGAGATTTTAAAATTACATACAGATATTTAAGAAAATGAAAAACACACACTGAGAATTTAAAATTACACACTGAGATTTTAAATAGACACACTGAGATGAAATAAATTGAAAAGCACACACTGAGAATTGTTAATTACACACTGAGATTTCAAAAAAATACACACTGAGATTAATATGCACATTACTAATGAATATGAATAATTCAACAGATTAATACCTTGGTCTCCCGAACGCTCGTCATTATAATGAAATGCGGTTCCAACAAACAACATTAGTAATAAATTTCAAGACTTAACATCGTTTTTTGCTAACTCATATTCATAAGTTTGTTGCCTATAATTCAGATTATAACTAACAGGGTATCGGGTTTTTTTTTTATTAAAATTGTTTAAGCATGGCCGGGTCCCTTTTCAAAAGTCTTTCAACTGTTATCCTGAGGCCTTGGGTAAAAATGTTACTGCATTGTTTGTCTTTTTGCAGATTGTTCCAGTGTTTTTTTTTAATTTTAATAAAGTTTTTCACCATTTGGTTATATTATTTAATGAGAGTAACTGGATATTTTACTTGTTCTACTGGTCTTTGATAACGAAGTTTTTCTATACGTAATATAACGTTTTTTTATATAACGTTTGGCGCCAAATTAAAGGACTAACGAGTTCTGTCCCCTAGTTGTTTTAAGCTTGTCATAGATTCAGATTAAGTATGCTAATTAGATATGTGCGCATAAAAAGTACGCACAAATCTCAGTGTGCAATTTAAAATTCTCAGTGTGTAATTTCAAATTCTCAGTGTGTGTTTTTCAGTTTATTTCATCTCAGTGTGTCTTCTTGAAATCTCAGTGTGTAATTTTCAATTCTCAGTGTATGCTTTTCATTTTTTGTAATCTCAGTGCGTATTTATGAAATCTCAGTGTGTATTTTTTAATTCTCAGTGTGTGTTTTTAGGTTTTTTAATTTCAATGTGTTTTCTTTTTAATTCTCAGTGTGTAAATTTTCCAAAAAATGGTTTAAACATAGTTTTGACGAGAACGGCTTGCCATAGCAAACAGTAAGAAATACACAAAAGAGGACTTTTTTTTATATTTGAAAACTTTAATTTTGCTCGAGTTTTAATTGTGCGAGTATTGCTTTACCACTATGATATCTTAAAATATGCGATCTTCAAACATGAGTTGCCAATCTCAAAATAAGTTTGAAAATTCCATGTCTATAATAAATCATCTGAGAAACAGTCACCATTTTATGACATTTAGTTGAAAAATTATAATGCAAACTGTAAAATAGAAAAAAGTAAAGAAAATAATAAGAAACGATACTGACTTGATTCATACTTACGCTTTCCCATCTAAATTCCACAAGGGGGCGTATAAGTGAAAACATTTTGTTTACACGTCGACCAAGAATGGACGGTAAAACTGCATACAGACCATTGCCTATATTTCTAATGGTCAAATTGCGATCAAAAACCATGTGAAAAGGAAATAGGTCGAAGAGAAAGTCTGATTGTATTTGACTGTGATCTGAGTTAAGTCTACGCTTTTCTTTTTCCAGTAATTCTGTGAAGGCAGTGTTGTCAAAATGGAGTTCAAAAACTACATGTATCATGATGTCATCGTCCTCTTCTAGGACAACATCAACTTCAACTTCAGTATTATAAAACTGTTTGCCAACCTGCACAATTTGGCCTTTGACATAATGAACAAAACCTCGCCTTTTACTCCGGTAATGCAACGTAAGACCATGCTGTGTTTCATTTTCACAATAAAAAGATGGTGCCCGTAATTTCTGATAACTAAAACGCAGATACTCGTGTAAATTATCAAGACCATTAAGAAAATCACGCATGTGTCGTCCTAAGACTTTTAAAATCCTATCATAACCGTATTGCCCTACAAATGACACAAAACAGACACCAAAATTATACATTAAATTTTCAGCAGATACATTCAATACTTGGCTGGCGGCATTTGCCAAATCTGGAATAATTCTTTCGGAATATCTATCGTGCGTTGCAAAGGTATGTGAAGTAACATGTGCATGCCTCCTTATTTCTTCCCATTTGTCCTCCCCATACGTATCTTTAATGTAGCTTGAAACGGAACTAATCAGTAATCCATACATTGCTACTTATCCAAAAGATACCTCAAAAAAACAAATTCTTCCAATAATTCCAATCTCCATACGGAATATATTCCTGAAATGATAAAAATAAATTGCTACATGTACTGTTGTATTTTACGGTCTGGATACATTCAATAGATGAATAAATAAGCAGAGAAAACATGCTCTTAGTTTTTTAATAACCATTCTGTGATAAATTTAGGCACTATCTCTCACAATACAAACGAATCAACAATGAAATAAAGGGAAATTGATACTTATAAAGAGAGAAAGATTTGCATGCAAGATAAATAAAGAAATAATATGATTTTAACAACATCATTTGAATGGTTCTCTCCGTTCTACATACACACGTTATACAAAACTAGTTTTAGTTAAGTTTTTCTAAACTACTTTAATCACTTAGTAGGTTTGTGTCCTATGCACCTATTTAATTAGCATTAAGGTGACATAGTGTACACCAATAGCAATGCTTAACTTGAAACATGCACAGATATATCTAGTATCTATCTACTTTACGTAAAAAACACAAATGAACTACATGTTAAAAATGTGATTAGATACGCATAATTTGTATTAATTTTATTCAAAGTACAATTGTTGTTTTTGAGACAGCTATAAGTCACACACAGATAGTAACTGTTGGTGGTAGGTGGTGTTGTATTGTCCAATGTTTTTTGGATGATTCTTGTAATCTTTTTGATGTATTATTTTAAAATACTAAGACTTGTGATTGAGATGGAAGAACCTCACCATAACTGTCGTACTCCGAAATGGTAAGATATTCCTGTTTCATTTATGACACCCGTCCTATTACCCATTGAATCAAACGTAATATATATATTATAGATACAATAATCAAAGCACCTTAATGATGCCAGTTTCAGAAAAACTTTTTCTCAGCAGAAATTATTATATAATATAAGTATTCTATTTTGCCTACCAGCTTGCTTAACAATAAACTCATTATAGATACCCGGATTAAAAAAAATTACGCCAGACGTACGTTTCGTCCATAAAAGACTCACAATCGGATGTGTATATTTTTCTACTCTATAGTTTAGGCATCTGCTTCGTATCATTTCAAATACATGTAGTTATATAATCGGATATAAATCCTATCATATCACTTTTTTATAAGCATGATCTAACAGAAACTTAAACTGATGCATACAAAACACCGTTAAGCTACGGAAAGTACACAATAGGACAAAGTAAAAACAAACTACAGATCAAATAACCCATTATCGTGGAAATGAATGACAATGTTGGATTCAGGAACATTTAGATGTACAGATTGTTGGAACGTGACTGTTAAACTTTCATGTGAAACGTTTCCTCAGTTCACTAATTAAAGTTTAGCAAGGCTTCATTTGCTAATTAAGATTACAATTATAGTTAAAAGGTGCGTTGATGATAAGTAATCAATTTTAAGCTGATTGCATATAGCTTTTAATTTAGAATTTACCTTTCACTTACATATTAGTTCGTATTAGTCATTTTGTAGAACACCGTTCATAAAAGATACATATTAATAATTCTGTTTCTCTGCAAAGAAGTTATGATAATTTCGTTCCAACTAATAATTTACCGTCATTAAAATTATATTTGAATGAGATAAATGCGATAGTACATCAACATTATACCTATATATATATATATATATATATAAGAAAATAAATATAAGATAATGACGGTTTCAATTCATCACTTTTACTAGCGCTTTCACTGCTTTCACAGATCTTCAGGTAACCAGCATACGGATTCTATTTGACTTTTCTTTATATATATATATATATATATAGATATGCAATACTGTATATTTGATACAAAACATTGAGCCTCCCGTTCATCTTGAATTTGTATATAGTCATCAACAAAAGGATTTAATGAAAGTCTCAAGATTATGTTTTTTTCTATAAAATAATAAATGTTTGATGAAACTCCAATGATGATAAAGGTCACTTAAGGCGATTAGAACAAATGATTGAAATTGTGCAATTTATGAACAAAAATGGAATCAACTCAGGCCATCAACTTATAGAAGTACTTTATTTATAATGCCTATAGATTTATCAATCTTTTCATATAGCTCGCACGTTTCCTCGTGCTGTTTTAAGTCATATCCAGTATATAAGAAAATATCTTAAAGATGTAACAAACCATGAAATGATAACATTTAAACAATAGAAAACCCTGCGTGCGTTTTAGAAATAAGTGCAGATTAAATAATATATGCATAGGCGGATATAAATTTGAAATTGAATGATATAAATGGTACTTTTTATGTAGAAGGAAATAAATTTCTAAGATTGCATATTTGATTTGTTTACAACTGTTTCTATGGTCGTTAAAAAAGAAATGCATCGTATAATTAGGTCTTTCCACCTTTCCGTGGAAAGACCTATTGGTTTTCTTCTGATTATTTTTTTTTTCTTCCGCCTAATTTTTTTCTTGCGGTGTATTTTTGTTTCAAAAGATGTCGCTTAGTTTTTTGGTATATGATATCATACAGTCTATACGCTTTGAAACTGACCCTGTTTAACCGAACACTTTTCTTTGTAAGAGTTATCTCCCCAAACACTGTTTTTCTTGTTATGAGATCTCCTCCGCAACCGTAAAAGAAAGCGACAAATTTATTTTTCCAAATTACTCGTTTTATCCTCAGGATGTTAGGTTTTATTTAGACCGAAGCTTTACGAAGACTCCATATGAGAGTTATTTCCCCTTTTGTATTTGATATATGTGAAATGTATTTGTAACTGGAAAACCATAAGTGATAGAGGCCTAGGGTCTTTAGATTTGAGGTCCTTGGTCCATAAAAATGAAAATGAGGTCAAGGTCAAAGGTCAAGGTCATGTAAAAAATTTTGATTTTGGCTTGTTATCACTAATTTTCAGAAATCTTATAAGATATCGACAATTTTTTTTACAGAATGGTTAGTTGCGACATGTCGTAACACGTAAATTTGAGTTGAAAGGGTACGGAGACATTTAATGGGAGTTTTCTCCCCTATCATATTCAAAATTACACGTATGGTGATATAACTCATTCATCATATATAATTGAGACCTAGGGTATTTTGATTTGAAGCCCTTGTTTCATGACCTTGAAATTGGGGTCAAGGTCAAAGGTTGATTCGACGTTCTATATTTTGACCTTTGCTTTTACCTCATATATATACATGATAAAGCCATGGGACTTTTTGCATTAGGTTGCAAGCCATTTGACCTTGAAAAAGCCAACCGGAAGTGACCTTTTGTAAACCGGAAGTAGCTATTTATTGTACTAAATTAATGTAAAAGTATATAGAACTATATATTTTTGGAATCAGTGTCAAGTAAACTATCAAACAATACCGGAAGTGACTTTTTTTAACCGGCAGTCAAAAATTATCTCCCTTATTTATTTTTTTTTGTATAGAAACCATATATTTTTCGAATAAGCGTACATTAAGCTGTCATTTGACGCTGGAATTGACATTTAAAACCTAATTTTAATATTTTTCATATCAAAATAGATCCTTACTGGTGGAAAGACCTTCAATTGTTCTCTGAACAATTGGTTTTTAATTCAAGATTGTTTTCTTTGTCGTATACCTGTTAAAAGCAATTATAGAAGGGAGGTAAACGGTATAGGTATATAATGTTCCGTTTTAATTATAGACAATTAAATATTTTTGCCACGAGCATCCCTAAAGATGCATATGGGTTTTGCTCATTGTTGAAGGCCGTACGGTGACCTATAGTTGTTAACTTCTATGTCATTTGGTCTCTGGTGGAGACTTGCCTTATTGGCAATTATGCCACATCTTCTTATTTCTATATATGGTGCAGTAAAAGTGGTAGCAATGATGTTATTACTACTACCACAGGGTTAATACATCTTCTGGTCACGAAGCTGCTAGTCTCCGAGGGTATCCTCATGACATGGTGTATTTTTCACTCAAATTTAATTCTCAGTCACCACCCCCAAATACTAGTATAAATTTATTGATTAGAGAAAAGATAGTTTCAACAATTCATAGTTAAAATAAATTGTTATTTATTTCTTCATTTACATAGAAAACTTTCCAAACTTTGAAAAAGATGTTTAGAATCATGATAAGACTTGTTTGCCTAAAGCCGACTGGCAGAATTTCTATAATATTATCTATAGCAACGTTGTCTTAATATTCGATGTATGCAGAATCAGTTTTAGTCTTAATATTTGTATGAATATATTGGCTGCCGCTGTTTTACTCATGAAGTTAGGCAATAGAAATCGTAGTGTTATCAGCTGATGTATGAAAATGCATATATTATTTTATTCCTTACATGTTTTGTTCTGAATAATTTCCCCCATGACAGAATAAAGATTATTAGTAATTTCATCCCATGTTGAGATTGATTATCTCCCCTTATTTTGTTTTAATCATCAGTTGTAAGTTATTATTCTAGTGTATATAGTGTGTAGTGTATTTCAGTTTAAGATTAATACTCATATCTATGTTTTTTACAGCACATAATAACTTATCACCCTTTTAGTAGAATTTATGCCTTGCAAGACACACATACATAAAATTTTATTATCTCCCCTTAAATTGAAATGCATCATTTGTCAAATAAGTATTTATCTTATGAATAAAATCCAAACTACTTAACAAATTATAGAATGTAGGTCCACCCTTATCCAAAACTTAATAACGGAGCTAGTCCCTCCCTTATTTCTTGTGCATGTCTTTAAATTCAGGATTTATATTATCTACCGTAAGGCCTTCATTTTGATATGTTTATAACTTTGCAAGGTGTGTCTTTTGTTTGTTTGTTGTAGATAGTTTTTGTTTTTAGTATATTTTTATTATGAGGAATGTTTCGTAATTTTAAATACCACCCAGTTAAGCAGAAAACTTTTATTTTATTTGATACACATAAGTATATACATTTATTTATGAATTTCACTTTGTCGCTTTATTCAGTAGTAGTCATTACGTCTTTATGTTGATTGATTGAGTTTCACGAATAAATAATAATGCTATGTATTGCTATGTATGTTTACTTTTATCCGTCACAAATGTGTTTTTTCATGATTATC